GATTTTCGGATTTTACTTGGTCGTTTTTTTGGGGGGGGTGATTATATCCCGACGTGCGTTCGGGATTTCGGTACCGAAAACGCACTTTGGGATTTCGGGATTTTACTTAGTCGTTTTTTTTGGGGGGGTGATTATATCCCGACGTGCGTTCGGGATTTCGGTACCGAAAACGCACTTCGAGATTTCGGGATTTTACTTGGTCGTTTTTTTAAGGGGGGGGTGATTATATCCTGACGTGCGTTCGACATTTTGGTACTGAAAACGCACTTCGGGATTTTACTCGGTCGTTTTTTTGGGGGGGGTTTGAATTTATCCCGACGTGCGTTTGGGATTTCGGTACCGAAAACACACTTCAGGATTCTGGGATTTTACTTAGTCGTTTTTTTAAGGGGGGGGTGATTATATCCCGACGTGCGTTCGAGATTTCAGTACCGAAAATGCACTTCGGGATTTCGGGATTTTACTTGGTCGTTTTTTTTTTGTGGGGGGGTGATTATATCCCGACGTGTGTTCGGGATTTCAGTACTGAAAATGCAATTCGGGATTTCAAGATTTTACTTAGTCATTTTTTTAAGGGGGGGTGATTATATCCCGACGTGCGTTTAGCATTTCGGTATCGAAAACGCATTTCGGGATTTCGAGATTTTACTTAGTCGTTTTCTTCGGGGGGGTGATTATATCCCGACGTGCGTTCGGGATTTCGGTACCGAAAACGGACTTCGAGATTTTGGGATTTTACTTAGTCGTTTTTTTAAGGGGGGGGTGATTATATCCTGACGTGCGTTCGGCATTTTGGTACTGAAAACGCACTTCGGGATTTCGGGATTTTACTCGGTCGTTTTTTTTGGGGGGGTTTGATTGTATCCCGACGTGCGTTTGGGATTTCGATACCGAAAACGCACTTCGGGATTCCGGGATCTTACTTAGTCGTTTTTTTAAGGGGGAGGTGATTATATCCCGACGTGCGTTCGGGATTTCGGTACCGAAAACGCACTTCGGGATTTCGGGATTTTACTTAGTTGGTTTTTTTTTTGTGGGGGGGTGATTATATCCCGACGTGTGTTCGGGATTTCAGTACTGAAAATGCACTTCGGGATTTCGGGATTTTACTTAGTCGTTTTTTTAAGGGGGGGTGATTATATCCCGACGTGCGTTCAGGATTTCGGTACCGAAAACGCACTTCGGGATTTCGAGATTTTACTTAGTCGTTTTCTTCGGGGGGGTGATTATATCCCGACGTGCGTTCGGGATTTCGGTACCGAAAACACACTTCGGGATTTCAGTACCGGAAACGCACTTCGGGATTTCGGT